TCTCCCCTCCCCCGACCGCATTCCAAAACCAGCCCAGCTCATCCCCGCCTCCCTAAACATTCCTCCCACCTCAAGCCCCAGCCCCATCTCCTACCCACTAGCCTCATCCTGCCTCCTTGACCTGTCCGTCCTCCCTGGACTGACATGTCCCCTCTCTAACTCCCCACCTACATTCACCTTTACTGGCTCCAACCCCACCTCTTTGACCTGTCTGTCTCCTCTCCACCTATCTTCTCCTTTATCCATCTTCTATCCGCTGCCCCCTCTCTCCCTATTTATTTCAGAATCCCCTTCCCCTCCCCCATTTCTGAAGAAGGGTCTCGACCCGAAATGTCAGCTTTCCTGCTCCTCTGAGGCCTGCTGTGTTCATCCAGCTCTACACCTTGTTATCTCCAACATGTCTAATCATTTTGTGTGGCTGCAGGGATCAGATTTCCTTCCCGAAAGGAAATTGGGGAATGACAGTCAATTAGTCTTTTATGTGACTAGCTTTCAGTTCCAGGTATTTTTTAATAACTTGCTGTCGTGGGAATTGACCAAGACCAGTCCAATGACAATTCCTCTACATTAGTGCCTTTCTTTCATACTCTAATTTATCTTCTTTTTCTTGAGTACCTTTGCTGTTTCCAATAATCTGTACAATCTTCTGACCTACCATATGTTTCCTGCCTTTGTTTTAATATTTATCTGGGCCTTAAATCCAATATATTTTGCAAATTACTTTCACAATATGCTGTTGCCCCCACCCCCAATCCATCACCCCCAGTACTTCTGTCCCTGCACATTCTTTTCACCTGAATCTTTAGGCATATCCTGTTTTGTTCCCTACCCTTCTTCCAAAATGCATCATCTCACCAGGAATGTTGTACTCCCTGGAATTTAGAAGATGATGGGTTGATTTGCTCTAAATATTCTGATTGTTAATTGAACCTGGTCAAGTAGATAAAGAGGAACAATTCCACTGGGTAGGGAATCCAGTATGAGGGGATAATGATCTAAAAGTTCAAGCCAGACCTTTCGGGAGTGAAATTAGGAAACTTTCTTGAGGTAACGTTGGTCAAAGTTTGGGCTGATTTCTCTCAGTCCATGCTTGATAAATGTGAAATTTTAATCTGACATTGATAGATCTTTGTTCATTAAATGTATTAAGAGATATAGGCCCTTGGGTAGTGTTTTTGAACAGAGAGACCTGGAGATTCAGGTATGTAATTCTTTGAAGTTTGCATCACATATAGATAGAGCAGTTAAGAAGGCATTTAGCATGCTTGCCTTCATTGCTCAAACCTTTTGAGTATAGGAGTTGGAAATGTTATGTTGAGATTATACAGACGTTGATAAGGCCTCTTCTGGAGTGTCCACTTCTGGTCTCCCTGTTATAGGAAGGATACTATTAAACTGGAGAGAGTTCAGAAAGGATTTACCAAGATGTTGCCGGGAATGGAGGGTTTCAGTTGTAGGGAGAGGCTGGATAGGCTGAGACTTCCTTCACTGGAGCATAGGAAGTTGAGAGGTGACCTTATAGAGATTTATAAAATCATGAAGGGTATAGATAAGGTGAATTCCAGGTGTCTTTTCCCTAGGGTGGGTGATTTCAAGACTAGGGGGCACACTCTCAAGGTGAGAGGAGAAAGATTTGAAAAAGATATGAGGGGCAATTTATTTTTTACACAGAGAGTGGTTCGTGTGTGGATGAACTTCCAGAGGAAGTGATGGATGCAGCTACAGTTACAACATTTAAAAGACATTTGGATAAATACATGAATAAGAAAGGTTTGGAAACTGAAACTGCTAAACTCCACGCTGAATCCGGAAGGTTGTAAAATGCTGAAGTGGAAGATGAGCTAACAATGTGTAGAGCTGGATGAACACAGCAGGCCAAGCAGCATCAGAGGAGCGGGAAAGCTCTCGTTTCGGGTCTAGACCCTTCTTCCTTTTTGATGGCGCAAGTGTCGGAGGATGATGTGTTGGATCCGGAGATTGGTGGGGTGGTATGTGAAGACGTGGGGGATTCTGTTTTGGTTGTTATTGCGGGGAGGGGGTGTGAGGGATGAGTTGCGGGAAATGTGAGACACGGTCGAGGGCGTTTTCGACCACTGTGGAGGGGAAGTTGCGGTCCTTGAAAAACAAGGACATCTGGGATGTACGGGAGTGGAATGCCTCATCTCGGGAGCAGATGCGGCAGAGGCGAAGGACTTGGGAATAGGGGATGGCCTTTTTGCAGGAAGGTGGGTGAGAGGAGATATATTCTAGGTAGCTGTGGGCATCGGTAGGCTTGAAATGGATATCGGTTTCCAGGTGGTTGCCAGAGATGGAAACAGAGAGGTCCAGGAAGGAGAGAGAGGTATCAGAAATGATCCAGGTGAACTTAAGGTTGGGGTGGAAGGTGTTAGTGAAGTGGATGAACTGTTCGAGCTCCTTGTGGGAGCACGAGGCGGCGCCGATACAGTCATCGATGTAACGGAGGAAGAGGTGGGGGATAGGGCCAGCGTAGCTTCGGAAGAGGGATCGTTCCACATATCCTACAAAGAGGCAGGCATAGCTTGGGCCCATGCGGGTACCCATGGCCACCCACTGTGTCTGTAAGAAGTGGGAGGAATTGAAGGAGAAGTTGTTAAGGGTGAGGACGAGTTCAGCTAAGCGGATGAGGGTGTCTGTGGAGGGGGACTGGTCGGGCCTGCGGGACAGGAAGAAGCGGAGGGCCTTTAGGCCGTCTGCATGGGGAATGCAAGTATATAGGGACTGGACGTCCATGGTAAAGATGAGGTGTTGGGGACCAGGGAATCGGAAGCTTTGGAGGAGGTGGCGGGCATGGGTGGTGTCATGGACGTAGGTGGGGAGTTCCTGGACCAAGGGGGAGAAAATGGAGTCGAGATAAGTGGAGATGAGTTCGGTGGGGCAGGAACAGGCAGAGACAATGGGTCAACCAGGGCAGTCGGGTTTGTGCATTTTGGGAAGGAAATAGAAATGGGCGGTGCGGGGTTGGGGAACGATGAGGTTGGAGGCTATGGGTGGGAGGTCACCTGAAGTGATGAGGTTGTGGATGGTTTGGGAGATGATGTTTTGGTGGTCGGGGGTGGGGTCATGATCAAGGAGGTGATAGGAGGAGGTGTCAGAGAGCTGGCGTCTGGCCTTGATGATGCAGAGGTCAGTGCGCCATATTACAACTGCGCCTCCCTTGTCCGCGGTTCTTATAGACAGGTTGGTATTGGAGCAGAGGAAGCAGAGGGCTGGATGTTCTGTGGGGGAGAGGTTGGAGTGGGTGAGAGGGGTGGAGAGGTTGAGGCGATTGATGTCTCGACGGCAGTTGGAGATGAAGAGGTCGAGGGAGGGTAGGAGGCCTTGTGGTGGTGTCCAGGAGGAGGGGGTGTGTTGGAGGCGGAAGAAGGGGTCAGTACAGGGAGGGTTAGGCTCACGATTAAAGAAGTAAGCGTGGAGGTGGAGGCAGAAGAAGGGTCTAGACCCAAAACGTCAGCTTTCCTGCTCCTCTGATGCTGCTTGGCCTGCTGTGTTCATCCAGCTCTGCACCTTGTTATCTCAGATTCTCCAGCATCGGCAGTTCCTACTATCTCTGGAAGATGAGCTGCTGTCCCTCAAGCCCCCATTGAGCTTCACTGGAACAGTGCAGGAGGCTGAGGTCAGAGGGGGATTGCGGTGGAGAATTCAAGTGGCAAGTGATTGGAAGCTTAGAGGCAGCTTGCAGCCTGACTGGAGGTTGTACCACAAAGTTTTTTGCTGTTCCCAATACCACAGGATCTAAACAGCAAAAGGTAAATGACTACCTGAGTTTATCTCTGAAAATCTTAGCATCAGCGCCAAGAAAGTTTTCTTTTATTTTGGAATGTAAGGGGTACAAAATAAAGCAAACTGATTGCCAGAATATTAAGCTCTATTCCAGTTACAGGGTTTTTTAATATCAGCAGAAATAAACCCTAACTCTCAAGATTGGAAGTGATTCAGTCCTGGATGTCATTAACAACAGACTCGAAGGCCAGCAGTCACTGGTGAGCTCTCTGCTTTTTCAGCAGATCAGATGATGGATCAAACCCCTTCTCAGATGCATGGTGCATGTGAACAGTCTTTCTCCAGTGTGAACCCACTTATGTTTCTCGTGTAAGTGATATTTTTACCTGTGCACCAGCTGCTGTTGTCCTTCTGACCGGTGTCGGTTGTGGGTTTGGAGATTAGAGTCATACAGCATGGAAACAGACCCTTCAGTCCAACCTGTCCATGTCAAACATAATCCCAAACTAAACTAGTCCCACCTTCCCATGCTTGGCCCATATTCCTCCAATCCTCTCCTATTCACGAACTTATCTAAGTGTCTTTTAAACATTGTAACTGTGCCCATATCCACCACTTCCTCAGGACATTCATTCCACAAGCAAACCACCCTCTGTGTAAAAAACAGAAATTGCCCCTCATGTCTTCTTTAAAATCTTTCTCTCTCACCTTAAAAATATGCTGCCTAGTGTTGAAATTCCCCCATCCTAGGGAAAAGATACCTACTGTTAACCCTATCTACACCCCTCATGATTTTATAAACCTCTATAAGGTCATTTCTGAATCTCCTACGCTTCAGTGAGGAAAGTCCCAGCCTATCTAGCCTTTCTTTATAATTCAAACCTTCCATATCCAACAATATCCTGGTAAATCTCTTCTGAATCCTCTCCAGCTTCTTAATATCCTTCCCATAATTGGGCAACCAGGACTGGACACAGTACTACAGAAGAGGCCTCACCAATGTCCTGTACAATGTCAACATGACTTCCCAATTCCTATACCCAAAGAACTGAGCAATGAAGGCAAGTGTGCTAAACGCCTTTTTAACCACTTTGTCTATATGTGACACAAACTTCAAAAAATTATGTACCTGAATCCCTAGGTCCCTCTGTTCTACAACACTACCCAAGGCCCTACTATTAGATTCTTGGTGCATGTGAACAGTCCCTCTTCAGTGTGAACCCACTTCTGCTTTTTTTACGGAAACTGTAAACACTTACGGTTCTGTGTAAGTGATTTTTTTTTTCCCTGTGCACCAGCTGCTGTTGCCCTTCTGGCCATTGTGGGTTGTGAGTTTGGGAGATTCTGTCAAAGATCTGGTTGAGTTCCATTTGGTGAAGTCCATTTCCTTTTTCTATTCCTCCACCACATTCTCCTGTATGGTTATCAGCATGTTCCCTTGCTGAAGGATGTTAATGATTCAGTTCATGTTTTGTGATAATTCAGCAGCTTTTATGCTCACTGTTTCCTGTTTCAAATTCATTTTCCAGAGAATTTTAAAGGGAGGGTTTACAGATGGAAAGCTTGAACCAAACATCAGATCAAAACCTGAGAGATGAGCTCAGTTCATCAGATGAATATCATCGGCCTTTGAACATGGAAGGAGAAAACACTGTTCACAGTGAAGAGAAACTGTACATTTGTTCTGTGTGTGGACAAGGTTTCAGCCAGTCATTTGACCTGGCAAAACATCAGTGCGCTCACAACAGGGAGAAACCGTGGAAATGTGGGGACTGCGGGAAGGGATTCAATTGCCCATCTGACCTGGAAACTCATTGGCGCAGTCACACTGGGGAGAGACCGTTCACCTGCCCTGAGTGCGGGAAGGGGTTCACTCAGTCGTCTGACCTGCTGAGACACCAACGAGTTCACACTGGAAAGAGGCCGTTCACCTGCACAGAGTGTGGGAAGGGATTCTCTCAGTCGTCCCACCTTCTGACACATCAGCGAATTCACACGGGGGAGAGGCCATTCACTTGCCCCGAGTGTGGGCAGGGATTTACTCAGCTATCGACCCTGCTGCGACACCAGCGAATTCACACCGGGGAGAGGCCGTTCACCTGCCCCAAGTGTGGGAAGGGATTCACTGAGTCATCCCATCTGTTGACACACCAGCGAGTTCACACTGGGGAGAGGCCTTTCACCTGCACCGAGTGTGGGAAGGGTTTCATTCGGTCATCTACCCTGCTTATACACCAGCGAGTTCACAACGGGGAGAGACCATTCACCTGCTCCAAGTGTGGGAAGGGATTCACAACCTCCTCCACCCTCCTGAATCACCAGCGCATTCACACTGGGGAGAGGCCATTCACCTGCTCTGAGTGCGGGAAGGGATTCACTCAGTCATCCAAACTGGCGAAACATCAGCGATTTCACACGGGGGAGAAGCCATTCAGATGTTCTGAATGTGGGATGGCATTCTCAGAGTCATCCAAGCTGGTGAAACATCAGCGATTTCACACTGGAGACAGGCCATTCAGATGTTGTGAGTGTGGGAAAGGATTCACTGACTCATCTGACCTGCAGAAACATAAGCGAATCCATACGGGGGAGAGGCCATTCACTTGCGCTAAATGTGGGAAGGGATTCATTGATAGTTCTCATCTGCTGAGACA